GGTTAAATGTTGACGATGCAACCCCGCAAAGGAACTAATCCACGCAGTTTGACTGGCGTTCACGACTCGCTGTGAACGCGTTTAAGCCTTTATTCTCACACAAACAACAATAACCAGAGGAACGAAACGACCATCAACCGTGTCTGAATCTCGATTAGGCCAAAAGCAGCGTTAAAGTGTCCTATGGCCCGTAGAAGGCGTCTCTTGTCCCAGACCCATTCTCCATATTAGTATTCCCGTCTGAATGGTCGGTTCAGAGCTCGTCCTTGTCCGCGGAAGCTCCAGCAGTTTCACCAAAACTCCTTCTCTGTAAGCAGCGGATAACAAGACACGTGCTATGCAGATGTCGCGGCCAGCAGCTCCCACCGGGACATCCCGTCGTGATTTAGGCTAATTATGCGCGACCCGACCAGGGTACGAGCTTTCTCCTACAGCCTCATAACTAAAAGCCTACGGTGTTTCCGCCCCCTCCCATCTTACACGGTTGCTCGTTTTCGTGAGACGATGCGGATTACGTGATGGTCTCCTGCAATTTACCCTTGTACTACTGGCTTTTTCTTGCCGTTATGCGATAGGAATTAAGGATTACGGAGGTTGAAAAGAGAAATTTGGATTAATAATTGTTGCAAGGAGATTGGTTGGCGATGGGAGAATGGAAAGCAGTTAGGTCAGATTTATGAGTACTGCGGATGTTTCTAAATTTGTGGGGAAAAGGATGCAGAAACGCACAGATTCTACATAATGTGCAAGAATATATAAAATATTCAAAATAGGGCTGGTTATAATATTTAGTAAGAAATTTCTTTCTAGATTCTAGGAACGAATACAAAAGTAATCCTCCGGATAAGCTTGAACCTTGAATCTGTAGCGGCGCATGAGTCACAGGACAGTTCAAATCATCTTGTTGTTTTGTTTCGGAGTATCAAGATCGTTAGGATACACGTAATGTAATGATAAATAAACTCTGGGCAAGACTATGTCGCCGCTACGTGCACCCGTCGAACAAAGTCGAATTTGAATTTTCCGGCTCTCCCCCGACCTATATCTATCAGCGATCTAATCAGCGATTATACACTGTCTTAGCGAATACGTTTGTACGAGCGTCTCAACGACATTATTTATATTTATATTTATATTTATATTTATATTTATTTAATTTAAATATATTTAACGGATTGCAACAGCAAGTTCTCGTTAGTCTAACTACCGATCCTCTACCAATTCTCTACAAATCTTTTAACTTTTTCTTCAAACATGCTAAGGGTTTTAATGACAAAAATTGCCTGATACAACATAAAAGAGCAAAGCAACTACGCTCAGTCAGACAGACTCCACGGGAGAGAATTATTTACTTTTCACAGCACCTGACATAATGGTAGTTACCAGCAGTAGAACGAGTGGCGTCGAAACAGGAGGTCCGCAACCGTCGAGTCTCTAATTACCGTAATGAAGATTATTCGCGGCATGGTCCGCGCAAAAGGGCGCGTCGCTGTCTCGGTGAAATGGACGCGTGACCATGCAGAAATTCTCTAGAATAATCGACCACCTTTTGATATTCAAATATTTTACCCTCTGCAGACTGAATTACTAAAATACGCGGTATTCACTGCGTGTGTTTAGAAGGATTTTGAAAGAGCTTTTGCTGTTTCTAATGTCGCGGGTTTTAAGCGTTGATTTTCCTAGAATGAAATTACGCTAAGAAGCCGTACTTATTTAATTTAAAACTAACTCGAAATTTTGGAACCGAAGTGAAATGTTCTACTTCGGAAGCCTAAGGAATATCTAACAAACATTCTTTTCAAGAACAAGATGTAATAATAATAATTGCGAATAAGTCGATATAGTCAGCGTGTTCATCGTAAATTACTATGTTATCACAACTTCTAAAAATCGCCTGTTCATTATATAGCAATCATAAGAGATAATTGTGTATCAGTATCGAAGACTATGCTCTTTTGTTTGTTCCATACAATGATTATAGTTTTTAAGATACCGACGGGACCAAGGAAACGCATCTTATCTCTCATAGGTGATTCCACTTTCAACAATCGCGAACGATCCAATATTGAAACTGATTGCATGTTGATATATCCAATCATTTTAGAGCGAGATGCAAGATTTACTAGAAAAATTAAAATGGAAAACTTTTTGTACTTCTGTAATAATTGATCATGTGCGTATAAGCAAGAGAAGAAAAGAAAAGAAGAAAAGAGTGATACGAAGGCGTTGAAGAAGGCGTGTTCCGATATTTCATCGTATAAGATATATTTAGAAGCTCGTAGAATTGAAAATTTAATATATATAGAAGACAATTGAGGCTTGGCTCGATTATGCGTGGCCGGTGCACGCGCCCAAGACCTTGTGACACTTAGGTACGTCGGTCATAAGTCGTTCGCTGTAATAAAGTACTGACGAGGTACCGGATCGGGGCAATTTCCATATGGTGCGTACGAACAAAGGATTGGTGGAGACAGCCAATAAGTGGCCCGAGGCCAAAGAGGAACGCTGTGTGTTCTCATTATGCGATGCTTCGCGTTAGAAATTCGCAAAGAACGAATTTAATTCGTAGGATATGATAGCCGTTTGATAATCTGATTCTAATTTCAATTCGTTCATCTTCGTAACTTGGAATAATGTAAGATACAGCGTATAATGGACGCAGATACACGTACCATAGAACAAGAATTATTTATCGGTGCATACACCGATTCATGTTTGAGATTAGGTTGTACTGTGTCGATTTGTAATTTTCATTTTATTTCCATACGTCCTTTCTGCGCTTGCAGTATCTTTGGATTATCGAAAAGAAGAATCGAACGAAATAAAATGTCGAGTCCAGTTGGCAAACATTTAAACCTCAAATATAAGTTGTTAAGAAACACGTGGAGGCAGGAAGATTACTGTTAAACATGGAAATAAATGCCAAAATCAATAAATGCAAAAATGTTGGTCGAGACTTATTCTTCGAGTTATAGAAGTATTAAATAATTTAAATAATTAAATAATTTCCCAAAACGATAGTTTCGTTCGAGGATTACAATTAAGCACACGATGTCCATTGGATCGTACAAAACAAAAAATTAAGGGAGGCTTAAAGTCGGACTAGATTACCACGACTCGATTGTCGGGGTCAAGAGTCATCGAAGCCATACAAGGGACTACGCTCGTGCCTTCTACTTCCCTCTCTGTCCTTTTTCCCTTCGCCAGCCGGTGGATGAGATATTGAAGAACGGTAGCCATTTTGTATCATTGACCGGGCAACGAGCGACGACAGGACAATAGTCGCCACTTGTCCACCGCTTTTTTGCTAGAAACCAAATTCCAGCCCGCCTGTGGCGATCCGTTGTTCGCCTCTGTAGCTCTGGATGAAAAGCACCGGTCGATCTGATCTACGTTCGACCGTGGATCATACCTTTAGTGCCAAATCATACCGAGCTCGTACGCGATCACTACCGTCCGGGAACAGTCGAAATGCAATAAAATTCGCCTTTGTGGAACCCTTTGTAGCCGTTTTTTCGTGGTAAAAGGATTAAAAAGCGATTGGGATACTTCGATAGAATTAGGCTATATTTCGTAAGCGAGTATTACAGTAGAGTTAGCAGGCAAATTAGTGGCAATAAATTTGGTAACGCAATATGTTGGAAAAATGTAGAATTTCAGAATTCATAACGGTATGTGTAAATTCCCGTTGCGATTATAATAATCGACGCCGCGACAAGATCGATCCCCTGATTTCCGTTGAGATAATAGGGGTGGTTAAGGTAGTATAACGCTGCGATTAACGGGGTTATAAACTTTATATTTCCAACACTTATAGAGTTACACTGAGGCGTATGTATAAGTTAAGTAAGTGATTGATTTAAGGATAGTGACCCGCTAATGACGTGTTGACTATTCTAACGATGAAGAATAAGTTCGTTCTTATATGATTACGGAGGAAAGCTCGGAGTGGGTGTGTTTTTTCAACTAAGGACGTGGATTCGTTGTTCAGACTTTTCGACAGTGAGGGCAACGATCCGCGATGCCCATTGGTTATAGCCATTATTAATAAGTGAAGATTGGAGGAGGAAGACTCCTACCGACGTGGCTCGGGGGTGAACTTGTGCATGGGAAAACCGGCTTTTCCGTTAGACACCCATCTGCTTTCTCCGTAATTTGTAAGGACGTGCAATAAACCTAAGGACTGTTTTAAATAACAGTTATAAACCGAAAATACTTGCAGGATTAAAGGCTCCTGCAAGCTAATAAGCTAATAAGTTTATTGACAGTCTGTCGAATGGGGCTTGGGCCTTGACGGTCAGACATTGAAGGACGTCGCACGGACCATTTCACGCGACGTAACGGTTTTTTTTTTTTTTTTTACTTAGTTGTTTACATTCACAATTTGTCCGATTTGGACATTTGGTAGAATTTTTTGGCTGTTTGTTTATCATGTGGGTGGCTACCCCCAACGGGGTACCATCTTCGTGTTATATTCTTTGTGAGATCTGTTGGGTGAATAACAGTATGGTAAATAACTTTACCAGAATTTTACGATTTTTTATTTGAAGAAGCGAATTTGTTGCACCGGAGGGAAATTTAAATATCTTCTGTATTTACGATTCGGATTGTTTTATTACTTAAGACGCAGTGTTTCTTCCTAAACTTCGTAACATTATAAATGTCTATTTGCATAGACCCAAGTGAATAATCTCCAAATTTTGATACTTAATTAAAACCAATATTTTTGGTCAAACTAGAATGTGACTGATTATGAAATCTTTCTAAAATAGTATTTGCACATATCCAAGCTGACGGATGAAATAATTTGCTATTTCACTTATACCAACACCGTCTAATTAAACCTCAGAATATACATATATTACCAATTACCAAGTTTTCACAAAAGGAAATATTCTCACATACTTAAGTTGAAATACGAAATACTTTACTATTTAATATCAATCAGCATCTTCCAATCAAATCAGAACATTACTAATTATCGAATCCTTTGTTTCTAGGTGTCTGCGGGTCAGCATATGCAGCTAACAGGCGACCTGAAGCCAGGCGTATCAGTGGCGGCGCAACAGGGCATGTACTTTAACCAGCAACAGAACCAAAGTCAGTCAGGACCGGCCGGGCAAACGGACACGTATTGTTCGGTTTCTCAGTCTCAAACGATCAACTTCACGCAGCAAAGTCTGAGGCAGAGAGCTGCGGCTGCAGCCGCGGG